GTACTTTCCATGTTACCAGAGAACGGTAAACACCAGCCCACCTCCAAACCCTGATATCTACAATGATGACCTGCTTGCAATAAAAAGATGTGCTAGTGTAACCATGCCACAAAAGTTATGAGAGTAATCAACTACTACCTAATTGAATTTTTGGTCCATTTTGTGAGATAGAACTAACATTTCTTGGGTGGCCAAAAACCTGAGACTAGATAAGCCATGGACCAAGGAAAACAACCAGACCAGATACTATTGTGCTGCTAAAAGGAATGTAGCAATAAAATGACTCCTGAGGATGGACATCCTACTATACTCATAGATCAGTCTTACTCATCCACCATCATAGAAGCTTCCTCCTGCTGTGAGTGGGATGAAGAAATACAGAGACCTACAAACAAACAATGTCAAAGAGGGAGAGATCTTTGAACACTCAGTCCTAAATGGGATTTCTTCATCAAACTGCTCCCCTTGGGGCTGAGGGAACTATGTGGAAGAGGAGGTGGAAAGGTCATCAGATCCAGTAAGGATGGAAAACACTAAGGAAACAGTGTCTTCCAGACATAGGGACTGGTGGGTATATGACTCCCAGAGACTGTGGCAGCATGCACAGAGCCAGCACAGATTCAAGCCAGATAGGTTCCCAGCTCTGAGATGGGAATTGGACACAAGTTCCCATCTCTAACCCAAAACCTATCTCCAATGGACAACTTCTTGAAAAGGAAAAATTAGTTTTATCCAATAGAGTCTCACTGGGTATACAAACTATACTTAAGGGAGACCCTACACCCAGGAGTAGATGGCCAACCCAAAACAGATTCAATGGTACTTGGGGAGAAGTTTTGTCTCACAATGCTTTGTTTGGGCATGTTTTACCTTATAGGTCTTTTGCTTATACACTATGGTTTCCAGTTTTGTTTTTATGGCGTGTGTGTGTGTGTGTGTGTGTGTGTGTGTGTGTGTGTGTGTGTGTGTGTTTCTCATAGCTTTTCTTGCTTTGTTTTTCCCTCTGTTTATCTGTTTGCTTTAATTCTGGAGTTTTGTTTATTTGTTTTATTGGCCTGTTTGTTTCTAAAGAGAAAGAAGGTATGAAGTTCAATGGGTGGGGAGGTAGCAAGGATCCTGCAGGAGATGAGGAAGGAGAAACTGGTCAGAATATAGCATATGAAAAATTATTTTCAGTAAATGGATAAATATTTTCAAGCTAAATGTTAAAAGAAAGAAAGGAAGAAAAAAGAAGGAAAAGAAGGAAGGAAAGAAGGCAGGGAGGGAGGGAGGGAGGGAGGGAGGGAGG